ATGATTTTAACACTATGGATTCCTATTTGAAATCTCTTTGGGTTTAGCTTGTCAGCCATTTACACGCTGACAGTGCTAACATTGTGCAGCATCCTGTAACACCCTTGAAAGGATCTCAAGGCACCCCAATCAGCATGCTGGTTGAGAACCACCAAGTTGAGGGCTGGTATTGTCCTCATTTTACACATGGAGATCTGAGGCACACTGATTAAGATGGAAATTTAGAATTCTATCATGTAGAACCACACTGAGCATCTACTGGTGTTGTAAGTAGGTTTTCAACATTAAGGTTCACATTTCACTTCTATTTGAAGTAACAAGTAACTTGTGTCAGGAGTAAGCTGTTACCCTATTTGTGAACTAACTACTAGAAGGGCATAAGACATTTGCCAGTATTTGCTGACATCAGAGTAAAGTAAGCAAAGGCATGATACTGTAGGGCAGGGGTGGCAAACCTGTTGCACATGTGCCATAAGTAGCAAGCAGCCTCTGTGGAACATATGGCAGACCAGGGAGGGAACAGAGAACACAGCTGCAAATACAGCAAGGAGCAGAAAACAGATCAAGCAGAAGGGGATTAAAGAAGCGCACAGGGAGAGCAGTGTTTAAAATTTGTGACATGCCTGCCAAAAAGATCGACTACCACTACATTCAGGAAGTGTGCTATGAAAGTTCAAAAAAAAATCTCACTCAATAGCTCCAGGAACACTTCCTTTCTGCTCCTATCCAGTCACCCACTTCCAACTACTGCCCTCTTCCCACCCCGCCCCAGCACCATTTTCACATATAAACCCCTTCTACCCCTCCCTGTGTCTTGACTTCCTCAACCTATAATTCCTCCCTGTAAGCCTTGCCTATTAAATTAAAAATTCACTTGAGGCAGACTCTCTGAGAAATTTCAGCCTTAGCAAACTTTGGCAAATATATAAAACTGAGTCTCAAGAGTGTGTCAGGCATTCTTAACTATAGACAGTGCTACCAGTTCTAACTACAAACAGAACCATACATTTTCAGCAGCTGCAAACAAGAGTTCACAAATAAAACTGAACCCTTGGTTTCTAGATTACCTGGACTATCCATATATTTCCACAGAAAATTACTGATGTTCAAGAATGAAACTAGTAACTCATTCAAAATGCTTAAGCATTAAATATAATCAAGGACTTACCTAGGTGGAAGTATCTTGGATCCATAATAGCTTGTTGTATGAACGTGCTTATTCACAGACTGTGCCTTGATATGGTTTAAATTAGTCCACTTTGGAAGCAGACTAGTTAAACCATACAATTGCATGAGTGCATCTTACAGCTAGGTCTGCCATTCAGGAGCTGCTGCCACTTTGAGTATGGCAGGAAAGTACAATTGGCTTTCCATTTGCTCTCTGCACCCAGTTCAGCTAATGCCCTTTCACCTTCTTCAAGCACACCAAGGGCTGGGCTACACACAACTTTTGCACACATTTAAATACATCTGTTTAAATGTGTAGTTAAAACAAATGTTATAGTTAAAAATTAGCATAACCTAGAATAGATGCAACTCTAGCCATTTACTCTGATCAATTTGCCAACCTATGCACATAAGCATCTCTACTAACATAATTATATCCCAACTATCCCAACAGTAGTAGGCAACTGTTGATCCTTCTGGATCATGGTATATGCATCAGGTCACCAGGACCTTCAACACCTACACCTAGGCAGGAATATGGAGGAATGGAGGCTGCCCACTTTCCAACCACCTTTAGACCATTGAGATGGTATCCAAAGGCCAGACCAAGTCTGGACATTAGGTGCCTCAATCACTGTAGTTATATGCATGTCCATAAATCAAACCTGGGTCTCTTGCATGATGGACAAGGATTCTACCACTGAACCACAGCAGCAGGTCTCACCTATGTATCTACCAAGATACAGTCCAGTATGTCTAAGACAGTGGCTCTCAATCCTCTATAACTTTTGTCAATTGAGCAGCACCCCATTTGAAAAACAAAATAGTTAATTACTGGGGTAATTAACTTGAAGAAGGAGCCAGATACAGAGTAGGTGAGCAGCCAAGCAGGGAGAGCCTGAGCCTGCCCCAGCACCCTGACACTGGTCAAAGTACTTGTGCACAAGTCCTAAGTTGTACGGAGGCATCACCAATCATCTGAAAAGGGAGCTAAATAAGGTAGTCACTCTCAAAAAGAAAGAAATTCAGAATTGTAAATAATTCCAACTGTACAAAACAAGAAATGGAGAGGTTCAGCATCTAAAGCAGAACTTCCCGTTTGAATTACTTGCACATTTATGTAGACCTACTCATCTCTTTCAAAATGTTAATTTAAAAAAAAAACAAATAAAAAGTATGATGGAAACTCCTATAGCTTAAAAGGTTTGTACCATGGCCGTGTCAGTGTCGGGAGAAGGCTCCAGAAATGGTGAACTTCTGCCCTGCTGGGAGGCGCTGAGCATGCCCAGTCAGGGCCATGGTACATAACTTGTTTTGGCAGGAAGCTTATGAGGCAAACGTTACATTTACCTGAGCAATACAGCTGTGTCATCTGCAGACAAACAAGCACAGACATGTTATTGGCTGCATGAATGACTGACAGGTGTCACTGGAGTGAAAGTTATAAAAGAGCCTGCACCCAAGGTTGGGTAGGCAAATGGGATTATGGATTGATCAGGTTTGCATCGAAGGTTTGAATGAGGAACGCCTGCATTGCGGGGACTGCCTGTTGGGATGGTGTGCGCTGGCTGGAGGAGCAGGCAGGACCCCAAGGGGGGAGTCTGAGAACATAAGCATCAATTGGACACAGCACGAGCGAGGGCTCAGAGTAGCCAGTCTCCTCTGCATTGGTGGCTGTGCACGTGCATGTGCGTGGTGACTGTGTGTAGAGCAAGGGTCCAGGGGACCAATCTCCGTGGCGAGTCAGTGTGAGGTGCAGCTGCAGCAAGCACGGACAGTGGATGAGCCAGATACTGCTCTCTAGCACCCTCTGTTGTCGCTGTTGCTTTTGATATTGCGCTGACAGTGTATTACAGTTGATTTTGATTGTTGTTGTTTTACCTTGTTGTTGACCTGTTAATACATTGTTATTACCTCTCCATCTGGAGTTGTTGTCATCAATTCATTAATTAAACTACCTACTCTCAGGTTAGAGGCAGGCTGCAGACCACGAACCTGACAACAGCAGGCCCCCACCCCTTTTACTGAGCTGATCCTTAATTGGAATTAATGACCCCCATACTGTAACTAAGGACTGGTCACTCAGCATACTGGACTGTAGTCATAAGAACAGCATTTCCCAGTTGAAGTAATCCTTCTGCTCTACTCAGCACTGGCACATCCTCACCTGAAGTACTGAGTCCAGTTTCCCATTTCAAGAAAAACACGGACAACTTAAAAGAGTCCAAAAAGAAGCAACGGACATTATTAGAAGGCCTGAGAAATGTGACTTGAGAAAAGGCTGAAAGTACTGGGATTCTTTAATCTGGAAAAGAAAAGACTGAAGAGGGATTAAACATGTGGAAAGTGGTTACAATGATGACAGACTACTCTCCGTCTCTGTGACTGAAGGGATAGAAAAGGCACAGTGGTCCTTGTTGCAGCCAGGAAAGTGGTGGTTGGAGAGATCTTTCTCACTACAAGTAGTCAAGCATTTGAACAGGCTACCCAGAGAGCTTATGCAACAACAATCCTTAGATGCTTTTTAAGAGCAGGGAATGTTTTAGGAAGATACTTGACAGGGATGGTTTAGAAAGGAATTTCCCTGCCTTGAGCGGGGAGTGGAAAAGATGTCCTCCTGAGGCCCTTTTCAGCCCTACTTTTCTATGGTTCTAGGTTTGTAGGACCAAAGACACAGGAAGTACGTATCTGCTTGCCGGGGTTAAGTTGTGCAAACTGTAGAAAACCTCAATGGAAGGAGAGCTGTCACAAAGGGGGCGGACTGTGTGGAGAGAGGCACTATGCACCAGATTAAGGGTGTAGATACATGAGATACTATAGAGTAATTTGCCTTTGATTTTACTATAAAAAAAAATCAGCTCACTGAAGCTGGCCATCTGTAGTACATTCGATTACAGTGCTTGACCCTAGATGGGAGTGCGCCAGTTTGCTTTGAAAACAAAAGCAAACCAGGCATAAAACTGACTAAAGAAGGGATGCAGAAACCTTCCCATATAGGCCATCACCAAGGGATTAGATGCTACAGTTTTTCCATTTTACTGCCCAAGGGAGGCTTATTCCACCATAAAACTGCATGCCACATTTCCATTCGACTGCACTATGGAATGAAGTCAGTATGCCCTGAAATAAACATGTTATAGGTCTGCATCCTTAGTTAAAGGAAGAAGGGGATATATTTCGTATTAAAAAAAGAATCTTTCTTTATCCTCTATAGCTAGACAAAAAAGAAAGCATAACATTGTTATAGCTCCTCTGTACTCAAATTAAGTACACCACATTAAAAAAATTGGATTTGCAGTAGATAAGCATTATTCATTTAGCCACTTTTTACCCTTTGTTTTTTGTACCCAGTGTTCACTTCAGTTTTTCCTTCCCACACAAGAACTAAATAGATGTTAAAATCTGCACTTTACAATTGTCAGTGCAAGTCTCAAATCAAACAAAAGAGCACTTAAGAATAATTCCTACTAGATGAGGGGGAGAATGCCTAGAAAGACCTTCATTACAAAAGAACAAAACTATCACTGAGAATCAAAAAATTACAATAGTTTGTACAACCTCAATGAAACTTATGTAAAGAGCTAAAAACGAAAACCAAATAAACCTGTAATACGGTGCTCGTATTGTCAGTCAAGTGATCTTCAGTAAAGAAACAAGCATAATAAATATTGCAGTTGTTTAAGAAGGTGCAATTATGAAGTTACAGGAATTTTAAACAGAGCTACTGAAGAACTGCTTACTGCAGTTGAAATCAGCAGATGAAGTTTCCACAGCGTTCAATACAAGGACTTGCAATGATTTCCTTCTCAGTGCTTGAAAGGCAGCTACTAGTGCCAAAGGACATTTGTATTTAATAAAATGTAAACAAAAACAGTAACAGGTTCATATGAAATGCACATACTGTACACATCCAGTTTATTTTCCATGTAGTGGACTGGTTCCAGTCAGTATTTCTGCATGTGAATAAGTTTAGCAAAATGCTTATTTTCCCCACAAGAATTTGCTAGTGTCCATTGCGAGTAGCTTAGGTCTTGCAGCACCCAAATGAAGCTCTCGATTTAAGGTCAGGTCTATAAATTTGAAACTGTGGCAGTAGTCTTACCATAACAATGAGCATACTACAAATGGCTAAAGAGCAAGTATGTTAAAAGAAAAAAAGTACAACTCAATTGAGGAAAAAAGGTTTTGTGCACTTTGCTCATTTTGGCCAACATGCTACATTGCTCCTTTTTTGCATCCAAAATTGACTTGAGAATTTCCACTGTAAAAAAGAAATTATTTGGAAAGCAAAGCACTGTGTCAAGTTGCCCTTTTTTCTTAAGAGTCTTAAACATTTTAAAACAGAAGCTTTGCAAAACATTACACAATTCTTGTTTTTATTAAATGAGAAAAATCTCATTTGTTATATCGCTAGCCAGAAATGCTGCAGTGATGGAGAGTCAATGCTGGATCAACCAAAGTCCTCATTCTACAACATTCATTTACAAAGAAATTATAGTAATGTTCAACACAGCCCAACACAACATTCCTCGTTTTCTTCAAAAAGAAGTCCCAAAATTCTTCCTCAAGTGGGGTATTTTACTACATAAATTAGATTTGTTTAAACAATTCACCCCAAAATTTGCATGAGATCAGACAAGTTTCTTCAGCTGTATGAGAATTCTTCACACATCATCATCATCTGATGTGTCACTACTGCTTGTCTCAGTATCCTCATTCTCAAGAGTGGGCTTGAAAGTGCTGTTTTTCCAGGGGCTAAACTTAAAGTCACAGATGAGGCCATTTTTCAGAATGCCATTTTTTCGAAGGCCATTTTTTTGCAGCTGAAATGTAAAAATAAATAAATAAATAAATAAAGCTAAAAGCTGTCTGTAATGAATTATGGTAATACAAACTTTTTTTGTACCTGAAGTATTTATATGCGTTACATTCAAACAGTGTCATAAGACTAATAACTGTGCTACTTAATGCTTAGTCACAGGACATTTCAAAATTGTGTAACATTGTAAGATTAACCAACCCATGGGACACTAAAGTTTCATTCCTGTCAGTCAGGAATATACACCAATGGTAGAAAAAAAAACTGTCAGTGTTTCATTTGTTTCTTTACTTTTCACCCCTTTTCCTTAGAATCAATGGAGATAGTTTTCTAAACTTCTAGATGCCACAGAAAACCCAGGTTTAAGAGAATTATAAAAGGGCACAGAAACCTACAAACAAGAAAATTCACTTTCCATAGATGGAAGACTAGGGACTCAACAATTCTGTACAGCTCCAGTGCCAGTTATATTAGGCAAAACGTAGTTGTAAGCACAAAATTTCTCTTGAAAAGTGGAACTTTAGTCACACAATGTGAATTTGTTAGGTACCAGATTCAGGAGGTGTTTTGTTTCTTTTTAAACACCTAAATCCTGTTCAACCATGAACATTTTTTAATTCCCATTCACTGCAGAACATCAGCCATCTCTGGCAGCCAATTCTCAAAGCTTTAATGTAGTAGTTTGACATTAAACAAAAAATAGTTTAGGCCTAAAGAGCATAATTCAGTGCTTTCCAAACTTTTCCTCAGCATGACCCCATTTATGGCCCCATTTCCTTAGCACGGCAAACTCACTCCCCAACCCACACTCCTACAGCCCCACAACCCCATCTGCTGATACTGTAACTCCGTTTGCAGTTGCGACCCAGTTTGGGAACAACTGGCATAATTGGTTGGTAGCTTTTAGTATCACCTGTTCACTAATGACTTGGAATTCCCTCATCTCATCCTCTGTTAATGGAGCACAAGTTTCATCATTTTCACTGTCTTCCTGCCAACCCATCTCCTTTAACAACCTAGAGAAAGAGTCCAAAAAACAGAAGATTTATGCAATTTACTTCAGACACTGAATTTTTCTTTATAATTTACCTAATAGGGAGTTGGTAGATCAGCTAAAATGGCCCTTAAAGCACTCATTTCAGTCTACTGAAGTACATACTTCAACATCCATAAGCACAATACCAGGCATACAAGCAAGCATTATTTCATTAGGTTCTGTCAAGGGAGCGATTTACTTTTGGCCATCTAGCACAGGGGCAGACAACTATTTCGGCTGGAGGGCTGCTTAATGAGTTTTGGTGAGCTGTTAAGGGCCGCAATGGTAGTCCCACCCCTTGGTCACCATCTTGGGACTGGAAGTCCTACATCTAACCCCTGATTCTTGCCACCAGAAGACCCTCCCCTCACCCTGGAAGTACTCTTTTTGGGAGGGAGGGTGCTGCTATCTTGAAAATGAAAAAAACAACCCAAATCACATACTAAAAAGTAAAACATCTACTATAACTCATTTTAATTTTATTTTAAAATATTTTTGTCCTGATTTGTATGTGCTTGCATAGTATATCTAGAGGCAATTGCATAATAGCTCAAAATACAGTCTTACTCCTGTATAGTGTGTGTGGGCATTAAAGGGGTATATATGTGGGGGTAAGTATGGTAGATGCAAGGGGGGGGAGGGGTATGTGGTGGGGTGGTGATGAGACTGAGATGGGGCCAAGCTGCCAGCTCCATCGCGTGCAGCTCTCGCAGACTGCATGTATGTCTCATGCAATGCAACCAGGCAGACCCCACTCCCAGGCTCTACACTCCTGACACCCCATTTTACCCCTGCTGGCTCCTGGGCACCAGCACGGGCTCTGCGCTCCCAACTGCCACCACCATTCCCCTGCCATTTCCCTACTTTCCCTCCCATCCACCACTGCTACTGCTGCTTTCCAGCCCCTGCCACCACTGTTTCCTGCCTGCCTGCCTGCCAGCCCACCGCTTCCCCTGCCTGCTGCCACTTCCTGCTTCATGGCTGGAACTGAATGGCGCAGCATGGGACCACCCCAGCCTAGCACAAGCTGATAGCAGCAGTTTCTGCTCCTACTCCCTTCCTCCTTACCAGGCCGTGCCGACTCCATCAGGCCTAGCCCAGGTCCCGCAGCTTGGGCTGACTGTGGCTGTTTCCCCCCCCTCCCTCTATCCTACCTTATCTGAATTTCTATTCAGATAGAAGAAGGGTGGGGAATAGCAAAAGGGTCACCAAGCCAGAAGCCACAGAGGCTTCCAGCTGGGGGCTGGGAGCAGGGTGGGGCCAGGAGGGCCTTGCTGCTCAGCCGCTGGGTCCTGCCACTGGCTCCCCCTGGGTCCTGCTGCTGCCAGTGCCTTATCTTTGACAGGCAGCCATGTGCAGATAATAATTAATTCTCTAAATTTTTTAGGGACCCCACACACTGGACAGAACAGCCTGACAGGCCAGATCCAGCCTGCACGCCATATTTTGTCCACCCCTGATCTAGAAGGCACATGAACGCTGAACCATCAGAAAGTCTTTCAGATGAAATCTTGCTCTCTGGTAAAAGCCTATTTTTGCAACTCTGGAATATAATTAAAATATAACTGAGGATCAAAGTTTCCCTACATATTTTTCAGATACGTATTCCCCATCTCTAACATCTGTAAACACTGTGCGTGTCCTTCAGCCCCTTGCACCAGATTTTACTCTCCAAACAGGCCTGATAAAATGTGCAAACACTCTGAAAAGATGCCTACCAAAAGCCTGCCTGTGACTAGATCAAAAGCAAGCCTTTTTTATTTATATAAAGAGACAGTATCCTTGCTACTTGTAGCATTTTTTTAAAACTTATGTTCCATCAATCTTAAAGAAAAAGAGGAAAAAAAAAAAAAAAAAATCAATAGAAAATTCTAAAACTCTGCTTCTGTAAAATAGTCCCTCTACAGAGCTCTGGAGAAAAGAAAGGCAGATTAGGAACAAGAGACCAAGGATATGAGAACAGACTGCGTTTAGGATATAAATGTATACAGATGGGCCTTAAGACAGAGACAGCTGGCGCTGAAGGCCTGAACCTCACTCAACTGCTACCTCTAGCAAAGAGATATACAACCAGGACAGTCAACTGGAAACAGTTTACTAGTTTCTACTAGTTTACAGAGACCAACATTCAGATTCTATGTTCAGATTCTAGTATTATCATCAGAAGACAGAACATGCAACTCTTTAAAAATTGGGTAACAAAAGAGCAAAATTTCCTGAACGGAAATAAGTTAATCCTTTTAGATGCATCAAGTCCCTGCTGCTCTGTCTGTATGGCTTAGAAATTCTGCCTATCTCGACTTTAATATCTTCAATGATTCCTGTGTTAGAAGTGGTGTACAAAAGTTCTCCTTCAATACTCCTGAAATTAGAAAATGAGAAAGGATCCTTTTCCTCATTTGATGCAAAAGCATCTACTGTTTACATTACTCAAGCAGGCCCGCACAATACTTTTTTGACAAGTCAATGTTATAAAAAAAACCCAGAGAAGAGTCCATCTAAAAAACACCAAAGCAAACAAGCCTATCACACCAAAAGCCACGTTCTGTTGTAAGATTCAGTCCTGCTCAGAGAGAAACATTTTTCTGAAAAATCCACCTTATCAGTATCCCTGCTTAACTGAGAAAAAAATCTAGACAAGGCTAACCAAGGTGCCCTTGCCTCAGAACTTTTACACAGGAGTCTGCAGAGAACTCCAAATATCAAGAATAACGTGACCTGATAAAGGAACATCCCTGTCAGGATGAACATGTACTGTATGGAACAGATGAGCAAACAAGAACTGTAAAATTAACAGTCCTAAACCTATAAGCAGTGAAGTGGTATGAACTTAGGACTGTTTTCTGTTCATGGTTAGACCAGATGAAACTGAATCAAAAAAATCAGACTGAAAAGCTTACTTCATAAATCTGAGAGCATTTTTTGCCAGCTGATCTGGTGTGAAAAGGCCACAAATCAATATAAAGAAACTTCAAGACTACAGGGAGTCAACAGTACACACTTACTGGTGGTTATTTTGCACTACTAGGTAGCAGAGGCAGCACCATGGTGTATAAGGGCCTGAAACCAATTAGAAACACAGAAAAATTGTGTCATGAAGAGTGACCACATGAGTAATTAAACAACTGAAGGTATTTGCCTTCTGAAGATGATGGAACATGTGGAATCTGAAAAAGTAAAACTAATTCCTGTTACTAGAGATGAACAATAAGGCATACACCTTCAAACACCCTTGTTACATGGATCATTACATTGATGGAAAGCAACAGTAACACAGACATTAAAATCCATATGATTTTTTCTGAAAGATATGCTAGAGCTCAAATGAAAGCATTACAAGGCAGGCAGGCCTGTCTGCTAAAGAACAGACTGCTTCCAATGACTTAGAAAGTGAAACTAGAAATGGGTTTGAATGGGAGTGGAGGAAACAGGAGAGGGTTGAAGTCATACATGGTCAGAACTGGTAGGATACTGCCTTTTAGTGAAATTTTTGCAAGAGGCAGATAGAAAAAAAGCTGACACGACTTTGAACGAAGACCTTTTAAATGCTGAAAAGGACTATATCCTAGTTCTTAACTGTTTGGGTATCATCAACTATTACTTAACTATTTGAGAAGATCTGGGGCTTCTAAAGAATAATTTTGAATTACATCTCTAAGTCAAGCCTGCTTTTCAGAAATAAATAATATTTTAGAATCCTTGTAGAACCAACATCCACGTTACCAGTCACACACAAAAAATGTAAACAGCAAACCGTTGGTTAAAATAATGCTAGCAGCTAGAAAATAGAACTGAGTCAAAAGGCAGGCATACCCCCACAATATCAACTTGATAATTAAAAGTACTGGTAGTAGTAGTTCAACTACAGGCCAAGAATTTAGCTTTTCCTTGATCAACATACTCTGTCCAGAGGAAAATTAGCAGACGACTTGGAGACAGGACAGAAGATTAGTCCAATCATTTCAAAGGAAGATATGCTGTAGCTCAAACTTATGTTAAGGCCTGATAAAAGAACTTTTTGGAAGGAAAGCAGGCAAATCCTCTGAAGAAAAACTGTCTCCAACAATTTAGACACTGGATATGGGTCCTGGCATGAGGTCAGGGGAGAAGGGAGGCGGGACAGTACACATAAGACCACTACTTTACCCAGTACCCAAATGTACTTCAAGTAGATGCTCAGATGGGTCTAACAATCTTTGTGCATATTAAAATATGAAATATGCACAATGTTCTACTTAATACAGTTTCACATCAAGATATAGTCTTCTTATAAAATGAACTGCCCTTTGACAAGTGGTTCAAGAACTTTTCTTGTTTAGTGCTTCTTTAAATATTTTACCATGCTACCTTGCAGCACTTCAAAATAAATGAATCTTCCTTTTTCAAAAGGACTATTCATTATTTTGCTTCGGCATTTTCTTCTAGCAATGAAAGTGCATTACTGTTACAGAACAGTTCCAGTAAAAGCCATTATCCTCTCTCTAATCCAATACATTCTGTTGTAAATCGAAGAATCAATCAAATTAACCTACACTTCAAAAATGCCTGAAAATGCTAGGCTAGTTTTCCAATAAGCTACTCTTTGCTACTGCTTTCATCAGAATTGCCAAAAAACATTCTACACAAAATGCAATTACAAGTGTTGCAGGATGCCACCTATCTTTTGTAAAGCAGCAGCTGTACAATTAAATTAATACTGCTGGCTGGGTTCTAGCAGCTTGCAGTGATTCAATAAAGTGTGAAAGCAAAGTGCTGTATATCTTTAATAGTCAGAGACAGCTAGTGAAATACAGCTTCGTACATCAGCATTGCTTGCAAGACTGCTCACAGGAGATGTGGTCTCCCACCAGCATCATATACTTGCTTATGCAGTTACTACTTCAGATTACTTGTATGACAACGTGGAACAGGGAAGTTCAATACTTTTAAGAAATCACTTTTTCTCTGTTTATCCTATTAGTTGAGCCAATGACTGAGTACTTACTACCCATATTTCAAAAATAACTAGGTCAACAAACTTCAAGTCAGACAAATTTAAGTATCTTATTCCTTTGACTGTTATGCACTTTCTAAAGTGAATTATTTTTTTAAAATGGCCTGTGCCTTAGAATACAAAGTAAAAAAAACAAAACAAAACACTTTTTATATGCACATTTCCTTATCTGCCATTTTAATTCTTTTCTTAAAATCAAGAGTCAGAAAAGGCATCTTCAATTGAAGTTAGGGATGTAAATAATGATGATTAAGGACTTTGTTTAAACTGCCCTAATGGTAGAGTTAACAGATAACGTGCATCTACCTGGCCCTCACCTATGTGCACTTGGGAGAGCCCCTGGCCTGCTGCTGCTCCATGCAGCTTTATGGGACTTTATGGGGCTGTAGCGGGGCTCACTGCTGCTGCCAGCAGTAGCCCCAGGCAGTCACAAATTGGCCAGCGGCACAAGCAGACTTGCAACGCCCCCTGCCTGCTGTTGCCACCACCACTCAACTGCCCAGGGACCAGGGCCAGCCACAGGCAGCTGCGGTGAGCTCCACCACGGTCCCCATGAAGCCACAGGCAGCAGCAGCAGGCTGGGGAAGCCCCTTGACTGCTGCTGCTACTGGCACACAGCAGCCCAAGTGCTAGGATTATAAGCAGCTGCACCGGGGTCCAGAGGCCTGACCTGGTACATTGCTGCTGGTGAGTGCGCACACACCTCATGGCAGATGGCAGGAAAGCCACAAGGGGCCCAATCCTTCTTGTGGCAGCACGTTCCTGGCCCCTTCCCCAGCATCTGGCAGGAAAGAGGCCAGGGCTGTCACAAGGACGATATGGCCCCACAGCTCCCCTACCATCTGCCTCAAGGCGCCTGTGCACCTGCTGCCAGCAATGAGCCAGGCCAAGACTCTGTACACCCCAATGCAGCTGCTTGCAGCCTCCCCACCATATGGCAGGGGCTTTCCTAGAGCCACTTCCGCCTTCTCCACTGGACTGCTCCCCACCCCACGCGAAAAGATAACTGGTAAGGTATTACCAGTTAGGGATGTGAATGGTTAAATGTCTAACCATTCACATCCCTAACTGAACTATGTTTTATTTTCAAGGGATTAAAACAGAACAACAAGTTTCTACGTACATATTAATCTGAGACATAACTGTGTTGTGCATTTCAAATGCCTATTCTAAATATTCATATGCTAGAGACATATTTTACTGAAATCAAGCTATTTGTATTCCATTCCATGCAAAAACAGATGAAATCTCATCTAGTTTAAAATAGATACACAGGCACACACTTTCTAAAACTGACAGAGAGAGATGTAGCACAAGCAAAGGAAATCTATTTCATAACACCGTCCTAATTGCTAAACTGTTAAATTAGGAATCATTCTTGAGAATTTTAAAAATTAAGTGCAAAGCCTCCTGAGCAGATCTTAAGTTTTAAGTCACTTCAGTATGTGAATAAATACGTTCATATCACAATGCTCAATTCAGGACTGGGTGTCCCCATCACCAATACTAAATTAATTACTTACCTATGCTCTGCCTCAAGTGAGCTCGAAAGGACATCTGCCTGTGGGAAAGCTGAAGACCGAATGATTTGCTGAGAGGTCACCGAAGCATTTCCATTTTCTTGTGGAATTTCATTTTCAAAATTTCGGTTTATGTCCCTCTCGTGATGAGCACTGTTGCTATTATGCAAGTTAAATGATTCATCATCCTGTTAAGAAGTGCAATAAGTATTTGTTACATGCTATTCTAAAAAAGGTCTATTTTCACAAAGTAAGCTCTTGGCAAATGCTACAATTTATCTACAGTTGCTCCGATTCATAAGTGACCTTCAAAATGTTAACGTCTAAATTTTTTAATATAAATTGAGAGATTGGTACTTGGAGATTGGGGGGGTTAATTGTTTAAATTGCAGCCAACTTCTTCACTAGGTTCAAGGAACTGTGAAAAGTGCTTTGCTGTTACTAAACATTTCTGTAATGTGTGTGTAAACTAAATCCCCATATTTAAAACATCACGATCACAATCACAATGGAAAAAAAAAATCAACTTAATAGTCTATTGTAATGCTAGTGAATATATCCAAAAGTGATTTATAGAACTCAGAGTTTTAGGAAAAGCACTCTGGAAAGACTTCTGGTTATTTCTATGAGTTTCTAGCACATTACATTTACATACAGTCTCTCAAAGCTTTACAAAAATGTCTCTCCAATGAACACACAGTGTTTACTCAAAGTAGACTGGGCTGCAAGCCCTCTTGGGGTGGAATGGAAAGACAACTCTGAGTAAATGGCAATCAAACCAACAGTAATTTAGGAAAGGAAATTTAACTAGAACAAAGTAAATAGCTTAGGTATAATGTAAGTTTTCAATTTTACATCTGGTCAGAACATCAAGGTTATCAATGGCAGTTGTATGAAAGTTCATGGAATTTTAAACCACTACAAACAGGGATGGCCTCAAATGTCACACTAAGTAGATCTACTGCAGTCATACCCAAACTAGCTAGCTCAGGTACCAGCAGCAATCTGACTGCTACATGACTAATACAAGGTAGCTTACCCCTCGACGAAACTCAAGCAAGCTACTTTGTTTAAAAAAGAGTAAAGGGGGGCACAAGGATATATCTGCACGGTAACTAACAAGACAAGTTTTTGCTCTTGCTTATCTTTTAGTAACTTATGTTCCCGAGCTGGCTGCCCAAAAGATAGCCCAACTGCAAGAATGACAAGTGTTAGTAATACTGCAGAGATGAACATGCTATTTTCAGCGTTGTTCTGAGCACAGTATGCTGCTCACCTTTATAATGGTTTTGAGTACATTTCTTGCCAACTGGTCTTTCCTATTAGTCTCCTAACTGTACCAGATTTCTTCTATAACTCTCATTGCAACAGTATCTTAGGAGCTAGTTATTCATTTGAGCATTTCTCTGTTCAAATTTAGAGTCTATTGCTGCTTCTGCAGCCTGTTGACAGTTATTTTATTATTGTGCAGTAGCTTAAATACTTTCTTCTGTGTTGACAGTCCTTACTTCCCCAATACTATAGGTGTTTGTGTACATCACTGTATTGAGTTGGCAAAAATCCACTGCCCACACTAAGAATGTTCTACATGTCTTATGATGAATCTGAAGATGAGTATTTTGCCTCTTTAAAATGGTCAGACATCCATCCATCCAAAAGACAGCTCTTAAATCTGATGAGAACAAGTAACTGGAAAAAAAACAGTTTGTCTTGTCACAGTCCTCCTCCATTCCTTCACTTTTATTCTCCTCTTCCTTTCTTTCTTGGTCTTCAGTAGTCCTGGGTCAACTGGCACAGCTTTAGAAGCCGAGAGCATATTATTTGAAAACACTTGCATTTCAATTTCCTAAAAATCCTTTGCTAGAATGGGAAGCTGGACAAATACTGTAAGGTGGTCTTAAAAGTACTAACTGGAAATGAGCTGAAAAGTAACTGTAAAGAAGCCATTCATGGGTAAGGTTTTTTTTCTGCTTACTGATTTCATGATCAAATATGCTCAATTTTTCAAAAGAAACTGGATTCCCCCCTCAATTAATTCAGATAGTTGTAAGTATTATTATGCTGCTTAGTAGTGGAATAAGTTAAACACACTTACATAAACAGCAAATTCATGGCTTATATGAAGCAATTATTGAAAACCAGAAACAAGTATTGAGATCTTTTAGTCTATATTCAGGGAGGTCCTATCACTGGAGTTAGACAGGAATTTTCACGTGAAAGACTGCCTTTCAACAAAACTTTTGATTTTAAAATTTTCCAGTAGTGGAGAATCCTCTACAATCCTTAGTAATCTGTTTTAGTAGTTACCCAGTTCATTCAGAAGCTTTAATGCTAGTCAAACTAGAAGCAATTTTGAGCTATTGGATCATATTAAAACATTAGTATATTAACACAACTGTCACTCAGCTCTTGAAATACTCAAAAGCAAGCATCACTAAGGAGATGCCCAGAATCCTAACGGGAAAAAAAGAAGCCTACTTCAAACTAACATGCAATGGAAAGGATTAAATGAAATAAATAAGTAGTTATCAGTAGCTACATGGATGAGCAACTAAGCATGCATAATAAGCACAAACAAAAAAGAATGGCAGTCAAATCATCATTTCATATGCTGCCAACAAAAGTCCAGTAAAAATATAAATCTGAAGAAATGTATCAATTCTTGTTAAAAAGAGGAACTAAATGTCATGGTATAAAAAGGGCAGTTTTGAGTATCTAGCTCCAAGCAGCTCAACAAGAAATAATCAATTCTTTTCGTACCATTAAACAAACTTAGGACTCCACACTTATTTATCACAATGACTTTCTAAATTACTGGGACAATTTTACTTTTGTGGTAGTAAGTATATGTAAGTCTAGTTATAACCAAAACAAAACATACACTACAACATGTTTTGAGATATGTTTTATTATTAACTGTTGAAGACCCCTACCTTCTCTTGCCCAACATGATTCTCATCTTCATGTTCCTCTTCTACTCTATCCCTTTTAAATGCCTTCAAGAATTCACTCTTCTTATCCGTGCGCATTCTTGTCAATTTTGTTAAACGAGGCTGACTGACTTTGTCAACAGGCGATGAGGAATTTGACCGATTACACTAAATGGGGGAGAAAGGACAAACAAAATATTGAAAAGATTGATGGATTAGAAACAACTATGCTGATGAGAAACAAAAGGTTCCTTTTACTGAGCAAAACTTAAAAAGATCCACGCCTACTATGGTTTCAGGTTTCACCTGCATCCACATTCCAAAATTAACATAGTATACCTATATAAAGAAAAAAAAATAAAAGGAGGATATTAAAAGTTCCTGCTACCCTTGGGTACTCTGTATACTTTGTATGTACCCAATGATGCAACAAATTTTGATGCCAAAACTGGCAATTCCTTGATTCTCTCTCATCAACAGCAATATTTCAGTTTAATACTTTGAGAAGTTTAAAAAAAATGCCTAATCCACCATTTTTCCTCCACACCATAACTACAATACAGGATGTCAGGTACACATGCTGGAAGCATGCTCACAACGTTAAGAAATTAAAATTTCAGTCATCTGTAGCTTGTCTGTTCCCATAAAATAAATATCTATAAATCCTGTAATTTAGTAAAAATTCTATAGTTTTCACTTGGTACCTAGTGAGTTAATCAGATAATTTCAAATTTTTAAAGGACTGGATGAAAAATACCTCTTTCACTGAATTTTGTGATGCACTAAAAGCCTTGGTAGTTGATTTGAAAGCACTGAAGTTCCCAATTCCATATGCAGACTCATGAGGGAATGGAGTCCCAAGTTTATTTTCTTTTGTTTGGCTTTTCCATTGTACAGGCTAAACAGAAGCAAAAATCTAATTAAACAGATGTGGATGTGCTTTTAGTAATTTTTAGAAAAAGCAAAATTATTAAAACCAATACTACTGTAACCATAGTCCTAATTAATACTAGTACAAAACCAAAATTGTTTCCTTACTGGAAAGAAATTACATTCAACTTATTTTCACTTTTTGTTTTACAAAATATTGCCTGCCCCTTTTGAATTTAGGGTGGTCTCCTTTGGTTTAACAATGGAATAGAACAAGTTACACAACTCTGTTACATACCACAATATTAAGGAGAGCATTTTCAACAACGTAATATACCATTGTACTGTTAGTTCTCAGGGATGTCAATTCCTGATGTGACAAGAGAGTGAATTTAATACTGAAGTTTAGCTCCATAACAAGGCAGGGAAAGGAAACATTCCCAGAAATTAAATGTAAATGAATCCTACTATGAGAGGTATATTTATTTATTTATATTTCCAGAATTCAAACTTACTTTTGCAGGTGGAGTAGCAGGTTTAGGGACTAATCCTTTATAAACACTTGTACCAGTTCCATTCTTCACAGGTTGTGAATGAAGACTTCCTACCACAGGAAATCCAGATATCTGCAAGTCTTTTGTACTGCCTTTTTTAATGACCAGCATTCTTGGAGATCTAGATTTAGGATTCAGAGGATACTCTGTACAGAAACGAAACAAGAATATTAATTCTCCTCAATTTTGCAGTATTCAGAGTGTTGACCAGCAACGTGGTCCAAGTAAAGAGAATGCTAGAAGGCAGAAATTGTTTAGTTCAAAATTACAGCTCCATCAGTATCTTTTTCTGCATTGGAGACACAGTATTTAGCACTTCTGTTGAGAAACTGTATTAAATTTTCTCCTCTGGGAAGCTATCCTGGTGATCTCCTAAACCTGATGCCAGGGTCCCATGGAGGCTTCCTTCAGGGGCTTACCTTCTCCTTCAAGAATGTGCCAGAAGCCTTTTTCTGAAGTCTCCAGCTATTAGTTATAAGACACTTCTCATCAGCTTATCTCTGTTTGCTCATGTGGCCTGTCCAAAGACTATTTCCAGGTACCACCTTTGTAAAAAAGGGCCTTGCAGTGGTAATACATGTGCTTGAAGAGCCAATTTTAATGGTCATGCTCACTGCATAAATTATGGGAAAAGGCCACCTTCTCCACAAAAAGATATTAATTAAAATATCACTAAAAACAAAATCCTTAACTTCAAGTTATACAAGTTTGATATACAAAAGGAATAAATATTATATCCAAAAAAAGCCTTCTCATTCCTTTCTCTGTGCTTTAAGTAAAACACTATTAGAGACATGGAAACAATATATTTAGGTTCAATTAATTATTTAAATAAAACCACTTACCCCACACACCTGCAGCTAAAGATTTATTCTGGTTTGGTTCCCTTTCATATTCTGGATTCAAAGATGGCTGAAAGGAAATATTTAAAATGTTACCCATATTTCAAGAGTGACCGATTAAAAATGAAGTGCAACAGAAAATAGTAACAAAATTAAATGTAAGAAGTGATCTCTTGTCCTCAGGTTTATTGTTTATTGATACAGAAAATGGCAAATAAACTGGCCCACATATCTACCTTACTGCTCGTGCCCTCTCCAATTTCATCCCCTCACGATAGGCCTCTCCTGGATTGCAATAAATGCACTTCTATGGATTGCTTGGTTGGGAAGGGAGGGAGGTGGCAGGAGGAGAAAAAAAAAAAAAAAAAAAAAA